CGTCTGGTGTATCTTTAGTCCCAGAATTGAGGCAGTTTTATTATACATCCACCATTTATCATTCCCCAGATGATTTGTACTATAATGTGGTGTATAATATATTATAAGACAAGGCAGATCAAAAATAAAAGGGGATCAATGTAATGCATTCACCAATGCACCCTAATGAATTAAATGACTCCACATCTGTTTACAATCACAGTATATGATTAAAAATTTTAAAACAGAAATTGAATATTTCAGCTATGACAAACATGGTAACAATAAGAGTGAATATTGAATAAATATTTTTAAATACATGTCAGTATAAGAGACCCAGTGTACAGTATCGGTCAAAAGTTGATTTTTTTTTTTACTGCAGCTGCTGATTTGTACTATGTTTTCATTTCGGAGTGCAATGACAAATTAAACTACATAATCCTCAATATAAACTGGAAAAACTGTGGTGTTCTAAAACTTTTGACCGGTAGTGTACAGTTACAATAAAAAGAAAGGGAAAAGAAAAAAAGGATGATTTTATACAAAACCACTATGTTCTTTAGAATGCAAGATTTGAAATACAAAACAAGAACAATCTATATGTTTTAATAGTACTTCACTTATTTTGATGCAAAACCGCAAAATAGAGTGTGTTTTGAAAAAGACAATAAATATAGAAGAGGTTCATTTTCTGTAGTTGCTGCAAAAAGAATCCCCAAGCTAGGTTATTTTTAATTTATTTTGCTGTTTTGTTATGTTGACTGTAATTCAATAATCTTTACATATGTGAGTTGACGGGCATGTTTTTTTTGTTATGAATGAATTCTATTAGGAGTCTTCCTGTGCCGCACGGCAACTGCCCCAGTGCTCTGTACATAGCCTGGCTGGATGCTCTGACCTGTGGCCTCCACTGCCCTGTAGTGCTTGTGCGAGGAAACCAAGAAAATGTCCTCACTTTTTACTGCCAGTAAATCCTGTGTTAGTGCAATGAAATTTACAGACACAATATTTTTGATACTCTAAAATGATGTCCTGACAATAAAGGAGAAAAAAAATCACACAAGACAAATAAGTACGTAATAAAAAGTGTGTAAATGATGTGCTGTTGTGATCAAAGATGATTAACAAATCTGATGAATAATAAAGAATGATCAAAAACAGAAGATAACACAATTGTGGTTATTCACTTTTTTCTGAATAATTTTAAGCTGTGTATTACACTTTGAGGCAAAATATAACATACAGTGCCAAATCACAACAACAATTGCCTCAAGGCACCTTATGTATGTATATATGTATATATCGAAGAATACATAGTTAATATGGCTGATAAACTTGTTGTTCTTGTGATTTGTTCATCAAAACAAATGTGAAAGACAATTAAAGTGGATAGACACTGACTGAACCTCACACTTGACCTGTTTAGTCTCTCCTCTTCTGCTGAAAGCAGACAGTTGGGGCTTCATTTGCCAAGTGCTGCAGATATATTTCAACTCAGGGACAGTCTAGTTCTGTTAATTAATAATACCATAACTAAAATGGCGAGCAAGCAGCAACATTAGCAAGATGAGCCTCATGGAGTTGACCTGGACTTAATGCTGTCAGCGTTAATCTCTTTAAAATGATGTTAGCGCCATAACCGCATTAACTCGCTGACAGAGATTTGCCGCGTTAATGCGGTTATGGCGCTAACATCATTTTAAAGAGATTAACGCTGACAGCACTACCTGGACTACATTCAGTTTTCCTGTTCAGTGTGTTTGGATCTTCTGAAAGAACCCATCGCCATTTATTGTGGACACAGTTATTGTAAAAGCTGGATTGATCATTGCTGGGATGGAGAGGAGGAGAAGGGTGAATACAGCTGTCCTTTCCATGTGGAGCCTCCATGCTCTGGCGATTCTAATCTCTCCAGGGATGTGAGGTAGATTAAAGCATTTTTAGGGGTAAGACTGGAAAACTCCAATATAGATGCCCATCTGTTTCAAAGAAATGAAAATCATTGTTAGAAAAAATGGAAGTTCAGTTCATTTAAACTCATTATTTACAGCTTTGATTTGATTACCAAATGAAAATCCCACTTTCTTGGCCTGTTGAGATTGAAAGATCAGGCCAGGTTGTGGTTTTTTACTACAAACAGAAAAAAAGTTGAACAGATTTGAGCCAGCACATTTGTTCTTAGATTTCGTTAACTTCGCTGACTGGGACAAAGTCATCACTGAGCTCATCTTCTTTTAGCAAAGAAAACACAGCTCGATGAAGCAGCTGATAAAAGCCTAGGAAAGGACATAACCAGTGATGTTTAAAAATAAGTCTTTATTACTGTTTGTTTCCTCACATCCTCATTACCTCCGGCCCCCAGCAAATCACTTGAAACATTTTAAATCAGAATCACGATCAGAAAACTTTAATAATCCCTAAGGAATTTACGTGGGTTACAGATGCTCCAAGACAGTAACGGAACTAAACTACTAAACTAATTAAATGAACAACTAATTAAATATCACAATATATTACAAAGTTTACAAATTTAAGAAATAGCACTAATATATACAAACTATTAAATTATAAATATCAAGAATATTAGAGAGGTGGAATATATATGATTGACATTTAACTCTAACCTGTGAACTTTGTCCTCATCCTGGACAACATCCGCCCCTCATATACTTCATATAGAAGTCATTTATAGTCGAAAATAGTGGTAATATTGATCATACTCACTGCATTTTTTAGCAGATTTCCATCCCCTCACACTGGATGGGACCTCAAACTATCGTTATCTCCACCTGATATGCGATCACGCTTCAGCTCATCTATACAGGTTCACAAAATTTCCCCAGGTGCTGTGCAGAGAGGGTTTGGCAGACCGGTGTTACTGGGAGGTAGAGGGACATGCTCGCACTCTGTCTGTAGCAGTGGCTTATAAAAACATCAGCCGGACATCTGATGAGTCACAGTTTGGCAAAAATGATAAGTCCTGGAGTTTAGACTGCACAGCAGACGGCTTTTTATTCTGTCACAATAATGTAGAAACCAAAGTGCCCGGCTCAGGTCTCTGCAAGATTGGAGTCTTCCTGGATTATAAACCAGGCACTCTGTGTTTCTATCATGTCTCTGATCCAATGGTTCTAATCCACAAAGTCCAAAGCAAAATACTACAAATATTTAGCACAATGCTCCATGAGAAATCAAGGGACACATGCTAGATGGGAAAACCTATTTCTTTTAAAAAAAAAAAAAACTGTCTTAGGCTGTACATTAGACGCACGGATTTCAGTCTCTTTTTGCAGACAGATCCCACCTCATTGAACATAAATTGAATGCATGTATGTTATTTATTTTCCATATGGAAAAGAAATGTTTGTGCTGGCAGTTGAATAAGAGCCAAAGGATTGTCATCACTGGAAAGAAAAAGCAAAACAAAAAAACGTGCAAGTTATTACAGGCCCTAAATCCTTAGAGCAACTCTAATTTGGAAACTTTGCCATTTTAAATAACTGGAATTAACAAAATAAAATAAATGAAAAGACACTGCATATAAAGATTGTGTCGTTATTTTCAAGCAGAAGCTACTACTCCTATTTTGGACATTGTTAAAATTTGGTGTTGGGTCTTCATACCTGCATGTGATGTCTTGGAATGTTCAAATTCTGCCTTAATCTCCAACAGTGTGAAAGTTTTTCTTCTTTTTTTAAAAACTGCTACACCATTTTTTAAGCACAGGTTCACTCTCTAATCCCAGTCATTTTTAACGCAATGCATTTGCCCTTTAAAACGATGGCAACATGCCCAGTTTTCACCATGCACATCTGGGTTTCTGTAGAAGTTTCTGCAGAAACACTGCTCAGTGAGTTTCACAGAAAAGTGTCAGTGATTTCTCTACCAGAGAAAGTAAGACTGTTATCTTTGTATTTTAATGTTTCATTTCTAAAGGATGTTGTCATCGATGCCTGAGGCGTAGCACAGTACTCTGTGCCCTATAAAAACTATATTCACACACATTCATACTCCGATGAACGCAGCGGAGGGCAACTTGGGGTTAGTATCTTGCCTAAGGATGTTTGGCATGCAGACTGGGGAAGCCAAGGATCAAACCACCAACCTTCCCATCAGTAGCTGATCTGCTCTACCATCTGAGCCACAGCCAGGTGGTAGAGCCTTTACTGTATATGTGCAAATCGTGCTGGCACACCAGATGAAACCCACTGTTCCAACATACAATCAAGCTCTTATTTGAGTGTAGTATTGCTATGATTTCAGTTATCAATACAAATTATTTCTTGGAATAACTTTTAGTTGCGACATGAGTTCAGCTTAAGCTTGATTTAGACTTCGGCTTGAAAGAGTCCCTTCCATTACTCAGGCTTTGGGTAGCCAGACCAACTTTTTCACCTAACTATGTGGATCACATAACTGATCCAAACACATTTACATGTGCAGTACTAGAAATATATATATATATTTTAAACAACAATGCGCTATAACAGTGGAAGCAATCTTGGAGTTTGCTTTCTTGTGAATAAATACACAGTTCTCTCAGTCAGAATAGCTTATTGGTTTGGCTTCAACCCCATTAAACCTTATTGGAATAAACTTAAATTTTGAAAAAGAATTTGTCTTGACTGCGCAACATTAACAGCCAGCTGGTTGCTGCTGAGTAGGAACAAATCCCTACAGGTCTGAAAATCTTGCAGCTATAGCCATAAACCACAAGATAAGTCATATGGGTACAAGGTGTGTGTCTTTGTAAAGCTGAAATATTGGTAAAGTTTTGACAAGATATGCCTCTAAAACAACAACTGCTGCTTTGACAGCAAAGCTGAAGAAACATGTCATATGCACAAAACAGTGGAGATGAGATGAACAGTGATTTGAATGAAATATCCTTTTACTGGTTTGCTTTTGGGTTTATCTGCTTGAGAATGTTGATGAACTGCTAGGACCGAGGAAAGAGGCGAGGTATAATTGCGACACACCTTCCTCTGCTCCCTGCATGTTACAGCAAGCATGACAAGTCAATGGAGAGAGGGCTCAGAGAGAGAAACAGAATGAAAGTAGGTGGGGGAAAGTGAGGTAGGACTAAAAGGTTAAAAGAAAAGGAAGAAACTACAACATCTTTAACACATTCAGACTCATTTTCAAGCACATGGTGTTTTCTTTTCTGTGTTGGGATTTACATTTAACTTGGTAAGTCTTTTCTGTCTTTTTTGATCTGGGATTTGTTTGTTGTTTTTAATGATTCTTTACAATAATAGTTCATTTTCTGCAGCCTAGTGAATCATATATATATTTTGAGAATGCATGGCATGTTACATGTTTCCATGGGTGATACTGTTCTTATGTATATTAGAGTTTTTTTTTAAGTATGAATATGTCAGTTACAGCTAAATTTGTGGACACTTACGTTCCATGTGTTGTACCATTTCTGCGCGCGTACTCTTTCTCTGTGGGTGGAATAGGTATGCATGTGAATCACAGAGCACACAAACACACCCTCTAAGTCAGGCATGTTTTTATTAGTGTTGTGGTTTAACAGGAAGGTCTGTGTATGTAAATGGTAATAAAAATAGAGATTAAGATGACAAAGACCAAAGAAAATAGAAACGCTGCAACAACAAGCGTAACAGAAACTGGGAAAAAAAATCTGCCAATTATTCACGACCTGGTTATAGTTGGTATAAGTTGTAGTTGTTGCACAGCTCAACAAGAAAAAACAGTGTCAGCGTCCACTGCTGCTTTGATGCCACTGCCCATGAGGTTTGACCAGCTCTTTGTAAACAACGGTTATGTGGTCTCATTACTTCTGCAAAAAGCAAAAAGCAGAAATCAACTGAACCTTGTGTGAGCCTGCTTCCCGATAAAACCAACTGCACACTTATTGACTCTGTAATAAACACAAATTACAAGACAGGTTGCTAAGAAATATCAAACAGGTTTGTTCAGCAAGTGTAGGTGTGAGTACCTGATTATACGCAGAGACATACTGACACTGCCTGACTTGAGTGATAGTGTAGATGTGTAGAGCATGTAATGACACGTTTTTTTGAAAAACATTTTTAGTAATGTGAAAGGACTCTGATTCTTCAAGTTGGCTGCTGGAGAGGGGGGGGGGGAAAGAAACAGAGAGCATATTCACACATTAAAGTGTCTCTGCTAATGTATAAATGTCTCAAGGGCTGTAAATATTAGATATACATAAACATATTTTATTACCTTAGTTTACTTCAACAAATCCCCCAAAATAAAACTGTCTCATCCGCAGGGCCAATTTGTATTGCCCTGCGGTCAGTTACTGCAGAAATTACAAGGTAATTATACTATGTTTACACCACAAGAAAGGACAGAGGGAAGCTAGAACTATTAAGAGGTTAAGAGGAAGTAGGAGACAAGGAAATAAAAATGGACCAAGGTATACAGAAGGCATAGAAAGGCACACATAGAAATACTGATGAAACCACTACAAATAATAGACAAGATATGAACGAGAGAGCACAATATCACATAACTGAAAGCATAAATAAATAGCAGTCAAGGATCCAAACACCAACTCAATGCAACTTAGGCTCAAGTGAACTAACACGGTGTTAAAATGCATTCACTGAAGTCATTATCCTGTTAACAAATGGAAAAAAAAACTTCCTGGTTTAAGTAAAATTCTGAAAGCTTATTAATAGTTATATACTTCACATTTGAACACACACGTGTGTTAGCACGAAGACATTATATCAACAAGCGACTGTTCATTTCAATGCCATTGCTATGAATATGCTGAGACTGCGTTACTCTCACAGGGCAATGAGAAACAATATATTGGACTAATGCTTAAATGTTGCAGCTAGTTAAAAAGAGATCATCTTGGTGATTTATTCACCACTTGGCCAGTAGTCTGCGCCACAGCACAGTGCTCTAAAATGAGCATCAGTTTCACATAGTTTTAGACTGTAAACTAATTAATTGTCAGAAAATTTAAAACAAAAAGTGATTATCCACATGTATCCACACGCTTCTCATACAGTGCATATTAGTTTTAGTGTATATTTAATACTATTTTAATACTTTAATACTATTTTCTCCTGAATGTATTTTGAAGCTTCCCAGTATATTTCTTTTTTTTGTGTTGTGTTTGGGTTTGTTTGTTCAAAAATCATCTTCCATCAATGACCCTGAAGAGAAGGAGCACAGAAGTCTAAAGTACAATCTCTGCTTAAATATTGACACCAACACACTCACTGGTGCTTTCCACTCATGTCTGGTCTCGTTTGTTCAGGAATTAAGAGTTAAAACCTGTTGCACTTGCGCCACACTCCCACACTTTCCTGCATGAAATTCATGCTTTTAAGCCTGGCACTCGATTCAGATAAAACGTGAGGGAGGAGGTGAAGACCTTTACTATTATTTGTTTGTTTTTATTGCCATATTCTTGTTGCAGCCCTGAGATGCTGTCTCTATTTTCTGTATTCTTGTTAAAAGGGAGTAATAAAGTGACCGAATGAATCATTCTCTTTGACAGGAAACAAAGATGGCCCACAGAGATTGTTCAAATTTGATAAACACCACCGGAGGAAATGAAACCATTGTGGATAATCCAGTTGCCACATCTATGGGTGCCTTCATCCTCAGCCTCATCTTTCTCCTGGGCTGCCCTGGAAATTTGTTCGTCATCTGGAGCATCGCGGCACGAGCTCGAAAGCAATCTGTCACTACTCTTCTCATCCTTAACTTAGCTATCGCAGATGGCTTTCTAATGACTTTAACCCCGTTTTTCATTGTCTACCTCGTTAAACAGAACTGGGTGTTTGGAAATGTAATGTGTAAGGTCCTCTACTACCTGTGTCTAGCCAACATGTACGCTTCCATCCAGCTCATTATGATGATGAGCCTCTACAGGCTGGTGGCTGTGCTGTGGCCACAACGTGTCAGTGTTATCATCACCCAAAAGATGGTACCCCGTGTGCTGGCAGCGGTGTGGGCACTGGTGATTGCCGCCTCCATTCCTGCACTTCTCTTCAGAGAAGTGAGGGACAAGGGACCTAAGCATGTTTGCGATTCCTTCCATGATTTATGCAGCCATGTGAGTTGAGAAGAATTCTGATAGAGGAATACTGTTTAAATCTACCTCTCTATCTACCTATTAATCTGTGCATACATATATACACATTAGCACCTCCATTCTATACTATTGTTCATCCCTCTTGTGTTATCTCCCTGTACAGGTGATCCTACAATACACACTGGAGATCATATTGGGATTTCTAATTCCCTATACTGTCATTGTAGTCAGCTACATATGCATCTTGCGTCGGATCCGACAGACCAAGTTCCGCCGTCGCATTCGTAGCGAGAACCTTATCCTGGCCATCGTGTTGACCTTCTGCCTGTTTTGGTTGCCCTACCATTGCATAAACCTGGTGCAAGTATGTCCCACAGTCTTAATTTTATGCATAATACCTTCTTCTAATAATGCCTTTAAAATTCATCATTATGATGATTCTTAACAAAATTATAATTTAACTATTTTTACATTTTGCTCAGGTTGCATGGGCAGTGTATCCAGAGAGTCAAGTAAAAACTATGTAAGTATAATTTAAGATACAAATTTACATTTACTTCTGAGAAGAAGTGAGTCAGGTGGTGCTGAAGTCAAAGTGAACTTTTTACGAGATTACTCATTGAACAGTTTGGAAAATTTCACCTTATATGAGAAAACTGGTAATGCAGCACTAAATGATATGTGTGATGGAACTAAAACTTAATTCCTGTATGCTAAAGTTTCATGACATCTAAAAGCTAAAGTTCATTTACATCATTAGCATTTAAGTATCGATATAGATATAGGAAAATGAATGTTTGTCTTTTTTACAGAGGCCTATGAGTCATTTGGGGATTTTGATTTTTTTTAATCTCATTATCTCAAGGGATGTGGTCGTCAAGACAACATTTCTGCTTTTACTATCACAGCCTCTGGTCTCTGTCTTTTAAATACCTTGTAAATACTGTAACTATAATCTGCAACAATTCATGTAGTTTTTTTTTGTGAAAGCTTTTTACTCCAAATGCATTTTATTGTTAAAAATACTTCTCATTTTCAAATGTACTTTTACAAAAAAGGAAAAAAAGGTTCAGTATATATATATATATATTAGGGGTGCAACGATACTCGTATCGATATTGAACTGTTCGATACAGTGCTTTC